TCTCTTTAATTGAATAATGTGATATTTTTGGTGGATTTATGGACTATAAAGTGTGTAGTATGTCCTTTTATAAGAAGCAGCATGACATGCTTGGCCTATTTGAAAATGATGATCACTGAATTCAATTGCTTTTTCATTTGGATTAGTATATTCATCTTGATTATTACACCATCAGGTTTCTTTAATTATCTGTCACTATATTTGGTAATCTTCTCAAAATTTTAAACTGAACACTTTATTCAATCTTCATAGCGATTACTTCATATCAGTTAATACTAACCAGCCTTATGTTACTTGTCTGTTTCTTCCAATGAACCAGAGTAAATGACTTTTCAGTACTTTCCCAAGGATATTAGTATAAAGTAAATGTAACAGACTAGGTGAGAACTTTAATTTATGCTCACGGATTCTACTTTCCACATTAATAACAATGACATTACCCACACATCCAATGACATAATTATAACAATGAAATACATCTTAGAAGAAAAAGTAACTTTCAAAGAATGACATGATGTTAACTGTTGATTAAAGGCTAATATACATTACTATCCAAGATAAAAAAAGAATAAAATAATTTTCCTCAACACTTTAGATAACAGTAAGAACTTCTCAATTATTTAATCTGAAGGAATGTGAAATCTAACTGCAGCAAATATCATATTTAGGAATTACATCATATTTGCTTGTGGAACTCCCTTCTGGCTCCATGCTTTCCAGCCAACTTTGATCTGCAAAAATTGAAATGCAATGCCAATTGCTATCTACTGTCTTCCTGATTACTCCGTCCTCTTCTTGCACATTAGTAATGTTTTGGTTCCTAATTCTTGCACACTCTTTAACCCCTTGTGTTTTAGTGGCTTAAAAAAAAATTAATCTAATTATTATATTTTAAAAAACTGATTAAAATTTTATGATATTTAGTATAGCACAGGAAGGAGAGAAATTATATATTGGAAGAAAGCACAGTGCACCATATGAAGGTGGATAGAATCCTGAAGAATATAAGAGGCTGGCAAAGACTTTGATAGCACAGACACGACCAATAATTCCAAGAAGTGTCAAAGCATTTAATATAAATACAAGTATGAAGACATCACCTTTCTGGAGAAATCAACATGAGATTGAATTGAAATAAAGATAGAAAAGTAAGAGAATTCTGGAAATTCCAGCTCAGATAAAAAAATTTAGCTATGCAAAAAATATATCTCTATGGTTATGAAAATAATGCTGATGAGCTGAAAGATTTTGTGCATCCAAACTCGCAAGAAACTTATAAAAATTCCAAATGCTAAAGTAAAAGTTCAATTCCAGTTCCAAGAAATGATGCTGTCAAAGATCACAATGAAAAAGTAATGAGATATTCTAGAACAGTTTGTCATGTACTGGTCAACTGAGTCAATTCCATCAAAGAAAACTAATACACTGCCAAGTTACCAACAGTATTTGTCATTCTTTACAGCCTTTTGAGTGATTGAACTGACAATTGATAGTCTAAAAAAGCTGCCAAGATTCTTAGATCCTCTAAAGAATCATCATCATATAAGAGAGGTCATTAAAACTTTGATGTCTAATGTCATTGAAGCAACAAGAACAAGTCGACAATTCTACAGAGATAACTTCAAGAATTCTGCTACTATTAAGTTATTTCACAGCAGAAGTTAAAAAATTGCACTTTCTCCATTTGTATTTATTTTGTAATGTCCTTCAATAAGGCTCAATATGAAAGCCTAAAAAATGCAGGTCTTTAATTAGATTACTTAAACTTGATAAGAATCATCAATGAATTTTAGCATAATGATAGGTTACCAAAGAATTTTAAAATAATTGGTCCAAATAAAGATTTTGTCAATATTAAATTTAAAGGAATTGTTAAGTGTCAATAGATAATTTATATATGTATTTATATGAAGCAAAGAAAATGAATATTTTAAAAAAGGTTATAGCAACAAATAAGTTGATAATGAAAAACTTGAAACTATTAAAAATTTATTAACACACATTAAAGAGTTAAACATGCCATGTAGATTCAAACTGAAAAAGAAAAATTGCTTTATAAATATAGTCGTTGTCATAGCAACAAAAAATTGTCTGTAAAGAGCAAGCCAAGTTCAGAAAGATGATTATTATTCTGAGAAAGAGTAAGAGATGTGAGCCTAAGATCAACAAGGTGAAAGGAAAAAATAAAGACATTTTAAAATTGTATTTATTATGTTTTTGAAGAGTCTATTGATGTAAACATTACACACTGACATTTAACTGATCATGTGACAATTGCCTGCCATTTATATCGATGGATAATTATCATTATGGAAAACTGTACGACAGAAGGTCATTACAAAATGTGATGTGAAAATGCCAGTGAATAATTTAAAAATAATTCACTTTGAGGACATGATGCTGGTTTACAGAGTGGGGTGGCATATATACAGTGTGCACCAGGTATTTGAGAATATATCTTTAGTGGGGGAGAGAAGAAATGGGAGACAACTTAATGTTATGTTACAAAGTACATAGCAATTTTTAACATTTTCACTTTTTTCAAAAATATCAAAAGAATTATCATGGTAGCTTCCAGTCTAACACAGTGACTCAGGATCAGCTTCTTGAAAGTGAACAGGTGGGGTGACAATTGGTTCTGTACAAACTCACAGAGGTGCCTATGGGAGTACACACCAAACTCACATAATCTTTGATAGACATGAATAATAAGGACTATGTCATTCCATCCTTCTTCCTGCATAGCTTCAGGATTGATGACATTACCCACATTGAATTGTTAGACATGAATTAAAGAATGGTCATACATGTTCTAGTAGGACTTTACTTCCTGAAGAGTATCTACTCTTCAGGAAGTATAGCTGGAAATGTTCATGCCACCCTCAACATGTGATCTCCTAGCTCTCCTGATTTGAATTCCCTGGGGATTCAAATCAGAACTATCTCTAGGGCATTGTCATAAAGGAAATCAATAATACTAAGGTCTCATTGAAGGTTGCTATCATGGATTTGATGAGCAGCATTAATGAGAACCACCTGATCTAAGAATGTCATCATTTCCTAGGCTGTCCTTGAGGCCCTTCCACATGTAATAAAGTGGTGCCTTTGAAAAAAAAGAAAAGAAAGAAAGAAGTGGGCATGTTAATAGATATATAAAGAAGTAGATAGATTTTACTATTTTGTGATTGATCATTGTCAACATGAATAGGTTGAGAAGGAACAGATGACACAAAATATTTACTTCACTCTGAAGTTAAAGAGGCAATGTTTTCCAATCTAAGGCATTTGGAAGGTAGCAGTGTAATAGTTGTTTTGACAAGAGTCAATAAAAAAATTAGATTACAGTAAAGCATAAATATAGATATAAAAGATGGAGCTAGGGAAGAAAGAGTTCAAAGACAGTTGTAGTCTCATCCCTTTTTGGGTGAGAGGCATTGTGTGGAAGTGCCATCTTAGTTGTATACTTTAGACAGTCCAAACTTTCCAACTCTCCTATAATTAAAATCAGGAGAAAAAGATAATCTTAACAAAGATTAAGAGAAAGATGGAAGGCAGATTGCATTGGAGAAAAAAGAAACTATTATTTTTGCCATTACTGTTTCAGTAACTTGGAAGAGAATGGTTTCAGACAATATTATTTTGCTTTTGTTTTTCTCTGTCATTATTTAAATCACTGAAAAAGAGAAGAGACCAACATCAAACTTGTGGAATCATGTGACAGCAACCTACTATCTTTCAACATTATACTTGAAACTGAAGGCTTTTCTGTACTTTTCAATTGAACATGTGAACAAAACCATCAGTCTAGAGTTCAATCTTGATGGTCAGATATGATTGTTATTCATAAAATTTTGATAAAATAAAAATGATATTGAAAATTAGCATAAAGATGTAATAATTAAATGAAATGAAAATGTGTAACTAGTCCAGACTATCCTATAAGCTGTAGTTTAGTGCTCCTCAATCTTGATTATAATGCTGGTTATAAAAAAATATGTTCTATGACATTTGTTTTGAAATATGCTAATTTGGTTTGCAATAAATAGTAAAATAGTTTGTACTTCTTTAAGAATATTTTTATTGACAAACAAAAGATAGTTATTCTAGTTTATTTAAATAATTTACAATAAGTTTACTTTAAGCTATGTAAATGCTGCTAAAATATATCACAAGTAAAATAAATATTCAAGAGGGGTGCAGGTGAGTTAGAAGGGAGCCCCATAATTCAGCCTAAAAGGTCATAATCTGACCCTGACTGTAATGATATATTTATTTGTGAGAGGTTTCCTGACTTACATATCAAAAGAAGAGGACAATATAAAAGTTTTACATGAGGTAGCATGAATCAATAGTACTCTACATCACATTAGCAGATGTGCTAAGTGACTTGCGAATACCAGTGAATAAACTTTGGCATATCACAACAGTAATATTAGAAATGATAAAAGAAGCAAGTAATTTTGAAATAAAATGTTAAAACTTTATTATAAGAAAAATTTAAATACTTTAAATTAATTTATATTTGAAAGTTAATCATTCCATTTAATGAACATAATATATTCACTAATTTCAGTGTTCTAAAATGCTCAGTCAAACATACAATGATGATATACATCTTGGGGATAGCAAATAAGTCATGTGCCACAGGGCATCACTTTCCATAAAAATGCCTCTGCAAACATTGTCAGGATTTATTTATTTATGCAACTGAAAAGATTTTCCAACAAAATTTTAAGTAGAAACATGCATTAATAATAATAATAAATGTTTGTCTTTTCCAATTTTATGGCTCATATTTTGCTGTTAACATGTTTTGGTTAAAGAGCTTTGATCTTTCTAAAATTAGGACAATGTGCATGCAGAAAAAATGACTGAACTCAATCCAGTCATTAGAGAAACAAAGACAAAATGAAGTTGAAAGCAAAACCAAAATCAATTTGATCATCATGGATGTGAACTTTGCATTAATATAAATAACATTTATAGATTAATAAACTCACCATTTCAATATCTTTAAACAGCCATTCTCGTCCAGTAAATAATGGTTTTCCTTCAGGATGAGGAACTTCAAACTTGATAGGGAACATTTTCAATTGTGGTGGTCGTATGGGTGCAAATCGAACTGAAAAATCAAAGAAATATTCCACTGATTTAACCTCAATAATGCTTAAAAAGAACCAGAGCATTAGGTTTGTTTTTTATCATTATTATCATTTGTGTACTACTAGATCTATGGAAGGATTTTTATGGTCATGAATGGGTGGAAAAGAAGAGTGATAAAAATAAGTAAAGAAGAATGCCATTAATGTGTGTTAGAAGCACAGAATTATGAGAAATTGTGGAAGATGTGGAGGAAGAATACAAGAATCTGAACATAAAAATATTTTCATAGCAACTTACTCACTTTCATAACTTTAAAAATCAATTCCTATTCAAATACACTTGCTTGAATTTTTCCCTCTCTTTTATGGGTGATATTGTCCTTTTATGAAACTATTTTCACCTTTACTGCATCCCTAATGTAGTATATTTGTAAAGAGAGACTGTGATAAAAAAAAAATAGATAGATAGAAAAGATGGCAACCAATATCAGTAAGCCACATTTCACTCTACTCATTATCTATATCAGATCACTCTATGAACACCACTTTTGGCATCCATTTTCTGCTACAATTTATAGATATGAATGAATCAATTTTTTTTAAAAATAAGTAGTAAGAGTACAGTGTAGGTAACTCAGGATAATGTTTTTGATCCCTTGAACTCAAAACACAAAGTCAGCAAAGTTAAGGATCAATGTGATGGATATTCAGAAGAGTCGAGAGAGTCACCAAATAATACAAGTTTTTGTAATAGGATTAAATCTCTATATCAAATGGGAAGCCATCACTCATTCAGGTTCCAACTGTAGACAAAAGCAACAAAGCTAACAAGTGAAAAAACACAACCCTAGATTAGTTTCTTTTTAAGATATCCTATTCCTTCAGGCTGTACATGATCTCCACACATTCTTTTCCCTTATTAACCATGAATCGCTATAACTTTTTAGGAAAGACCATAGTTGTAGTTTCCTTTTGCCTTCTCCACAATTTTGAATGTAGAGTTTTAAACTTGTTACCATTTAAGGCTAAATGCCTGGTCTACACTGTTATTTAATCCATAGCTGGAGTGAGGAAGAGAAGAGATGGATTTCTGCCTTTCCCAAGGGCATTAATGCAAAAGTGAATATGACAGACTAGGCCAGAATTTGAATACTGCTTGACAATTCCACTTTCCATGCTAATAACTGTAATGATACAGAAAATGCTGACATGAAAAAGTGTCTAAAAATTATAAGGAAAATTTGAATGTTCCTTATAATTTTTAGACAATATTTTTATCATAATTTTTTTATGCATGCTTAAATCTTAAAACTCTTGTGAAAGAAAAAATATTCAATGAAAGCTAATTTTATTAAACTACAATTAAGAAATGAGTAATCAAATAAAATTAATAAAATAAATTTATTTATTTTACCTGAGCTTAAATAATGGAGTATAAAAAACAAAGGGTTAAAATTAAGGTTTTTAAAGATAATATTAATAAGTTATTAATAGAAAACTGAAAGCAAATCTCCAAGAATGGCAGAGAAGGAATTAAATTATTTTATAAATATTATTAGAAAGCAGTTTTTACCATCAGGGAGTAGTCCAACACTGCCTCGAGTGGAAGCAAGACGCAGGGAAGACTTTCTTTTGCCAAACAACTGCAATTCTTCAATGGGTCCTGGGGCGGTGGCTGTGAAAAGAAAATCAAAATAACAAAAGGTTATCACAAGATACATAACAAACAAAAAGCACAACAAACAAAAACAAACAAGACTATGCAAGTATTCTAGCTAAAAGCACTGTAGCATTAATGACTTCCATTAATACCTCATATTTAACAAATAACAGTGAGTCCCATTATTTTTTAATACTTTTGTATTTCCATGTAGCCTCAAGTGTTTATGGAAACAGATGTAAAGATGAAATTGGTTATAATACAACAATACTGATATACAGATAATAAATTTGCTTAATTTACACTTTTCTCTAAAATATAGGATTAATTCAAGTAGTCTTACTAACAACTATTTCATAAGTGAAGGAGTTGAAAATTAATTAAATAAAGACAAGTGTATTTACATTCTTTTTAGTTGACCATAACTTTCCTGTTGTTATTCTACATATGGGTTTAAATTATTTGTTTTTATGCAAAATAAAATCTGATTTAAAATTTCTGAACTAATTTTCTCTGATTTTTAAAGGAAAGAACATTATTTGTCAGTTTAAATAGAGGTCAATTCTTTTAATTGTGTGTGTGCACATAACATAATATACAAAAGTGGATTAATAGATCCATAATCTTGCACAATTATTATTTGAATTTTGATCTGAAATGTCCACTGTATAATGGGAAAGCACTGTGTTAAATGATGGATGAAGATTATATGGAAAAATGAAAAATATACTGTGTTAAACATTTTTTCATCAACAGGCTAGGAACTGAATGACTTACCTATGTATAAGTTTTTACAGTTATGCATATAATTTTATACTCCTAACAACAGTAATGATTTCAACAAAGACTTCATCAGATGACCTATGTGTCAGGTATAGTTTCAAGGTTATCCCTAGAATATCTGTAACAATAACTTTTGATATTGGTAAATGTTGTTAGTTTTCCATTAACCAATCTTGAAGTCTCTTAATGTTTCTGATTTTCCCATGTTATATTAAGTTCATAATAAGAACATTGCATACCAATTAGAAAAGAAACACATTTCTTATTCAGCTAGGTCTCATAAAGTCTTTTGACAAATTCTCAAATTTTTCAAGTTGATATTAATGAACCTAGTAAACATTTTCCTTAATAGGAACTGTTTAATTCAATGATGTGGATCTTTTATGAATTAACCAACCAGATGAAAATCTATAATTTATTAATGACTACTTAATTTTTTTCATTAATTCCAAGTGACCTTTAATTTGGCCAATATTTAATCAAAAGGTTTCAGTCTGATGATAGCTGTATAACAACTGGGTAAAAAGGTTTTGCTATGTTGTTACTGTTTATTGTATCCTGGTGATCTCCATAACCTATAATATATAACAATTTAATAATGAAACCAGATTCTCAAAAAAGAATAATAGGACTAGAGGGTTTGAAACAGATGTGTGTATGTAAAATGAAATTTACATATGTTGTATGTTTAATGTAATGTATATAAGTGTATATAAAAGTAAATGTATATATATATATATATATATATATATATATATATATATATAATATATATATATAATATAAGGTAGCCAGGGGTAATGCTGGCCCTGACGATCCATTTAGTTGAAACCTAGGTAGGTTTGCCTGGCTCCTTAGGTTTATATTAGGTTTGCTCTACTTTGTGTATTGAGCACTTTATTTAGTTGCCTTTACTTGTTTTGGGTTTTTTTTTTCTTTGGACGACTGTTTTCAACTTTGTTTCATGTTCTTGGTTCTTTCTTTTTTTTATTCCTCATTTTTCCTTGGGTACTAGTTTGTTTTACTACAAGCCAAAATATCCAAGGTTTTCCCAAGCGAGTACCACCATTTATATATATATATATATATATATACACATACATACATACATACACACACACACACAGAAAGAGTTTATTGGTAATTTATGAAATTGTGCATTAAAAATATAGAAATTAATTTCTGTTATCTCTGCTTCCCTTAAGTGAAAACAATAAATAAATGTTACACTTTCTGGTTTCAAAATAGACTTTACCTTTTTTTTTTTTAATAAAAGAATAATAATGGCTAAAGCAGTGAACCATAATGAAAGATTTCAGAACAAAAAAACTAATATTTTTTTCATTATTTCCCAAGTATCATTTTTATTAGTTTTTTTATTTATAGTTTTTAATTTATGTACATTTTTTATTAATTTGTATTCAATTACAGCTAAAGCATTTTCTCCAATATAGCTATAAATTGTAAATGTACCCTAAAATTTATAAGAGAATTATGAGTTATTCTCTAAAGTTATCCTCCAAGGTTATAAATACCTGAAAAAAATCTCCAAAAAAAAAAAAAAAATATATATATATATATACCAGTCAATAATGTGAAAAAACAAAACAAAAACACAAACAAAAAACACACATGACTAATATTAATTCATCATTGATAGGGGAAATCAAAATCATAAATAGTGGTATTTTACATCCTCAGTTTTTACTTGTAAAAATAACTGATCAAAGAATATAAATATCAAGTAAAAGGAATTTATAAAATAAAAAGAGATGTTAAAAAGCATGTCTTACACAAATGTCATTAAAATGAAACAAGAGGAATCAGTTAATAGAGAGATAGAGAAACAGAAGAAAAGCAGTGGTTAGAAAACGCAGAGAAATATTAGCTACTAGAAGGAAAGATATGAACAAAAACTGGGGCCCAATATAAAATAGGAAATTGTTTACAGACTACAAGAAGAGAAACAAGGGGAAAAGGTTTTTTTTTTTTTTAAACATTTTCATCTAAACAAGATAATAAAGACACAAGGGGTTACTGAGTGTGAAAGAATATAAGAAAATGAAAAACATTAAGGAGTGAGAACTATAAGATAACAAGAATTAAGACAGTACATAATGATTGATATTATATTTGAATTTTTGAAGATCAAGGTTGACTGAAAAGCAAGAAACTGGAAATGAATTCCACAAGCAAAATGTGCGAGAGAAGAAACTGTTAGCATACATCTACCTATTTCAACTATGAAATGATGAGACCTTGCCATCAATCTAGTACTATGCTTAAATTCATAAAGTCTAGGTATCATAATGGAAAATTCATCAGAACAATTACCAGAAAACTGTTTATAAAAATGGCACAAGGAAGTTACATTATGGCAGTGGGAAAGTGACTGAAACTGATATGTGATATGCCAGGTGAGCTGATAGCATTGCAGGTTCATTGCAGCTTTGGATTTTATCAAGAATCTCTAAATATATATATATATATATATATATATATATTGCAGCAACAATATTCAAAGAATGTGTGAATATGTAAGATAAATTCTGGTGTGGAAAAATTGTCCAACACAATACAGTGAACCAGCATTCCTATCAATTGATTCAATATTATCTTTTCACTTCATGTCAGTAGAAAACATTAGCCTGAGAAGGTGCAATGAGTAACTCTCCTGGAGGTTAGCATCAGCCATGCTGACAGAAAGCAGAAAGTGATCTCAGACAATTAATAGAGAGTATCTGCCTATATCTCTGGAATGACATATTATTTTATTATTGCATTATCCTTCATTGCCATATTTGCAACATTTTGGCCAATGTACACTCCGGCCTTCTTCTAGTGATTGGAATTTTGAACCAAACCCTTTATTTCATCCACCAGGGTAGATTGTTCTAGTTCCACATGCCATATCTCTTCCAGAGGACTCAGTTATTTCCCTTTAACTTAACTCTCTACTTTTTGGTGGTTTGGTATTGAACTTACAACTCTTTGGGTCTAGTTGCTGGATCTAACCAACATCTTTATCCACTGGGCCATGTGTCCTTGAGGACATCTGTGTACGAATTTCTGGGATTATAAACCTAATGTCTCAGCAACCATTTTTTACCAGTGCTCATATTGCAAGTTTTTGTTATTATTATTGCATTTTTTACTAGAGCTTATATTGCAATTTTTGTTGTTATTCATTGCTTTTCTCTAGCACTCCTTATTAGTGGTTCCCATATTGTATTAATTTCTATGCTTGGTTGGCTCAGGAGATTTTTGTCACCTGGCATATGTGCTGATTCCTTAAGTATTTTCCAGTGAAGCTCTCTGTCTATTATTTCAACCTCATCCCACAGAGGAAGTGATCACCCTTTTCTCTCCATATGTGGTCAGCTATGCCTGATTTTTCTATTTCCCCTTGTGTTACTGCTTTATGATGTTCTTGCAAACCATCTGACATTCTTACATCAATGCAGAGACCTACAACTCATTCCTTTGGGCTTAGTACCAAGACTCCCCATCAATTCAAGGAGAGCTTCTCTGGTCGCAGAGAAAGCAGGACACACCCTGGTCTGGGAGGGAATCCATTACAACTGTTGGATAAAAGAGAAACTACAATTTGATATCTCCCAGAGGCTCAAGGCATTCTTCAACAGAATTGCTGACAAAGAAGACTGAAAGAGGATCCATCATGACCTGGATAAATCCTTCAGACATGAATTTGATGTTGTCAAGGCCCTCCAAGTACAAAAATTAAGTAGATTGAAAGATCAGAAGGTGGCACACAAGGTCCATCACCAACCAATAAAGGCAGTAGTCAACATCAGCTAAGTACCTCTGAGGAGTCAGTTCTAAACAAGCATCTCAACTTTGCCACAACTTGAGTGTACAATGGACGAAATGTTGTGAATATGACAATGAAGATGAGGATAACAGTCCAATAATGTAAATAATAAGTAATAGAAAGTAGTTTTGTTTTGGAACTGTTAAAATTAACAAGCTATTCCTAGCTCCAATTAATAGCAGACCGTTGGTCATTTTTTTAGATCACCTGCCAATTTGACTTTATTGAACTGATCAAAATTACTATTAAGACAGGAGTAAATAATTTTGTCATCAGCATAGATACAGAGTTGAAAACTAATGACATCAGCAGGGGTCATTGATGAAAATGAAGAACAACATAGGCCTATGGACAGAGCCCTAAGGAACACCTGCATTAATGCAAGAAGATGTGGAAAGGCTTGTCCAAAGACTTTGAGATGTCCAAAACAATGGTCTGAGGATAATGACTATTTTTGATCAGAAGTTAAGCAACTCATTCTGAAATTGCATTTGTATATCATAAATTATTTTAGAATTATATAAAATTGTCTTCATGATGAAATTATCTTACATTCACTCTTGTATAAGAGAGTGACTCACTTTTGACACAGGCTTTTTAAAAATCAGGTTTTACATGTAACATTCATCAATCTCTTTTACAAGTTATCATTTATTTTTATTAAACTTCCATAAATTCTGACGCAAACAGATTTAAAATCAGACTGCTTATTGATATATATATATATATATATATATATATATATTTGTGTGTGTGTGGGTTAAATTTTTTTTATCGTGTCTAGCCAAGAACCAAGACTAAAAATTAGAGTAAAGGGGAAAAGTGTTGTGAGAAAAACACTACAAATAAAACTTCTTGTTTAGATTGTACAAAAAGAAAAAGTGTTTGAATATTAATAAGTTACAAATATAGGATCCATTGCTACCATAAATGACCAAATCATTTTTTTAAATGATTCAAAGAGAATCATTCCAAAAGAAAGGAAAAAACAGAGGAGAAAATTGAGAATGATTGGAAGCAGGTGAAAAGTAGTTAGAAAATGTGTTGGCAGGCTGATAACAAAGTCATCTTCAACTGAAACATCCAATTATGCTATCTATCAATTATTCTTGGAATCAGCACAAGAAATCACTTTGTTTTAATTGTTTACTGCTTGATTCTTTATTCTAAAACTCTTGATCAGTTTGTACAGTTTTGGATGTTTAAAGATAAGACTTTCAACTTGTTGAAACAAGAAAATTAAAGACTAATATTGTCATTTTGGTTTACTGTTCTAGAAAAAGAATTCATTTTTAGTTGATGACTTAAGGGAAACATGAACAAGTTTGAAATACTGAAAATCAGAAATATCTTCTTTTAGACTATGTGACATGATGGTTAAAAGCCATGAGTTTTCTTGGGATTGATAATAGTAAAAAAAAAAGATTCTATAAAAAAAAAATTCTGTTAATAAAAAAATATTTGAAGAAGTAAGTTTCCTTATGAACAGATTACATTAAAACATTCTAAATTTACGTTCAATAAATTTATAAAATTTGAAAGTTTTTGCAGATAAGTACTACTGACACTTGATACTTGAAGTTTGGGTGACAAGTTGTCATTAAGGTTACATGTTAGCCTCTTCTTTGTTTAAATTGTTGGAAGTTTAATTATTTCTAGATTCTAGTTATTCATGAAGACAAAAACATTTTTATTTGCATATTTTGATCTTCAAAAATTCCTGTTCATTTATTGTTCTCTCTCCTTAATAATGTTTTCTTTTTCTCATATTCTTTTGCACTCAGTAACTCCTTGCATCTTAGTGGCTTTATTGCCTTGCTTGGGGGTGAAATGATTAAAAAAATAAATATTCAAAAATACTGACCATTTAATTTATTGCCTTCATTTTAGTTGCAAGATTCCCCACTAAAAAAATATATTTTGACTATTGTAATTGAATAATTTATATATGCTAAACTGACCTCTGCAAAGAAAAGATTTTATCTTACTTTAAATCTGTTTGGTAAAGTTTAACCATAGGAGTGGAGAACCTCTCAGCCTCTAATTCAATGTTTCAATCACTGAGCCATACTTTATGCCACTAACAGGAGAACAGCATTTTATGAAATATCACACTTTTATTGATAACTTATTGGATTAGGTTATTTTTGGTACAAGACTAGATTTAAGGAGCACAAAAGTATTGTTATTTTATATTGTTTCCTATCTATGATATTTTGGTGGCTTTTCAGCAGCCTTCTTATTTCAGCTACAAGTGATGTAATAATTTTATATTAGCTGACTACATGACCCAAAGTGGGGAGAGATTTCCGTATTTAGTCTTTATCTCTATATGTCTGTTATTTCTTTTCACTCCTTGCTGAAAAAATATGTTAATTTAATTTGAGGCCAATTACTGATCATCAAGTGTCAGTCATGTCTACTCAACTTCTGCTTGCCCACTATGTTGAGTATAATCTGTTATCTTCTTAGTATACATCACTTAATCACTTCACCATGTGATAATCAGAACAAGGTTTCAGCATTATTATCTGAAACAAAGGTCAACTAATGGTTACATCAGGATATACCATTTATTGTGTGATATCACCCAACAGTATAAATTCAGTGAGGAATGAACAAGCGATTAATGGCTTCCAAAATAAGTACTATATATATTGCAGACAATAATTGATCAAAATATAAGTTCACTGTCAGCACACATATAAAAAAAGTCCAAGAAATAAACTGTTAGTCATGTTAATAACAATTAAAAATCACTAAACCTATTTACATTAGTGATTGACAAAAAAGAAAAATATATATAAAAGCTGAACAAAAAAAGAATATGATGCTTTTTAAAGAAAATTACAACTTTTGAAAAAAGTTGAAAAATCTAATCCATTATTTACAAACCAATTTCAATTTTTTCCGACTTTTTCAATTTGGAAAATTCAAAGTTTAAAAGTCTGTTTAATTTTATATTGACAAATGACTATTTCTTCTACAACTGCTATGAGCTGAAAACAGAGATTGATGTGGGTTTTGTATCTTTGTAGACAAAAATAGTAAAGAAAACATAGAATAAATTAAAGAAACTTGATTATAAAGACTCTGAAATAGTTTACAGTAGTTTCTGTCAATAAAATTCAAACAAATTCGCCAGTTTGAAACTTATACAAGTTTTTATATTTCTACTGAAAACATCAAACGTTTACACTAGCTTTGCATATAAGATATCATTTTGAACAAACCCTGTTGACTTGGAAGTGTTCATCAACCTCAACAGGTTGTTCATCAAAAAACAGATAATCTTTATCATGTTCTGTTTCATCAATATTGAATGTAAAGGTGACTTTTGATTTTTATTGTTAAAGTAAATTAAACTCATGCTAATTCAAAGATTCAATAATCAATTAACTCTTCTAAAGATAATTCTGTTTGTTTTTTTTGACCATTTGTTTACATGCTAAAATAATTATCATTATTGTAAATCAATAAACAAAATGTTTGTTTTCCAACAATTTGTAAAAAAAAATCCTTGTAACTGAAACATTTTATCACATGAATTTAAGAGATAAAACACATTGTTAGAAAAAACATAATTTATAACTATGATGTAATGGAAAAGAGACATGACAAAAATAGAAATAAGAGGGTAAGGAAAAAAGACAGATAACCAATATACTGAAGTGGAAAATATTGCAGTCTCATAAGGAATAAAGCAGGAGTCTGGGGAGTTAATGTAATGGGTAATAATTATGTTGATGATTTAAGATTTTTTAGTCAATATTTATTATCATGAATTATTGATTAAGGATATAAGAAACAAAAAATGAAAAATCCTAAAAAATAAATTCTAAAATGGACCCAATTATATCAATGATATTAGTTACTTGAATATATGATAGAATTCTTTCTTCAACCAATCATTTAATATTTGTACACATAAAGAGGAATGCCTGAATATAGTCCTAGCAGTTTTCTCACCTCTATTCATGCATAATTCATGTTATCTATCTATCTACATAATTACTATTTTCTGTTTCTGAAAAGCCTGCATAACCATTATTTTTAAAAATTTCAGGAAAGCAGTGGATAAGCTTCTGAATTGTTTTAAGTAACGATTGATTGCTTCTGATGTGCTTCAAAATGTTTCTAGAATCCAAATAATGCAATTTAAAATACTGAAAGGAATTTTTGAAAATTATGGTTTTTCATACTTTGTGTTGAAACATATCAGTGAATCACAGCAATAAAAACCAATGACAGACAATCAATTAAAATAATTCTAATCAATAAAAGAAAGAATTCTGCAAAACATTCTACAGGAAATAGTTCTGAACACCATTCCAGAAAAGGAAAATAAATTTCAGAGAAGCAACAAAACAGCAAAAAAAAAATATATCAAAATATATCAAGCCAATGGGTAAAACCAGAAACCACACTGTTACAACAAAAAAATATTTTCAGATGAACAAAATGAAAAACCATTCTTGCAGGAAATTTAATACTTTGGGCAGATAAGCTTTTTAAAACATCCAAAGCAAACTAATTTTGGAAATAAAGTTTTTAAAGGTAAATAAATTAGCTCCCAAACCCTAATTGTTTAAAACCAGGAAGATCATGTAATTATTAGTAATATAATAAAGACTATGATAAAAACCTTTGCATAAAAGATGAAAAACAATTTTAAGGCCTTGAATGGGGTAAATACAGATATCAATAAACTTGGTTTTATCTACCTAACTACAGTGTCTTGTGCTTCCAACAATTCCTTAACACTGTTTCTACTATTATATTGTTCCCATCTAATTATTGGTAATTCAATTAGAATTGACATACTGTGCCCATGCCATTCAATGACAATAAATACTCAAGGCTAAACTTGTGATAATGCTGCAATATATTTGCCACAGCCAAAGACAATTTTGTTTTTTGAATATTCAGAACATTGCAAAAAGATTCAAGCAATAGAGTCAAGCAAAGAATATTGGCAAGACAAAAGAAGAGGAATATTTTTAAATGAAAATAATTGAGAATATTCAAATTACCCACAGTTTTTATTTAGGAATTGACATCATTCTGTAGTAAAACTTTTGGCATTTTGTTAATCTTTTCAAAATTTCTAGACAAGAGTGGCATTCTGTACTGAAGTGACCCTTGTTGGTTACAAGTGGTATTTATTTTTGAAGTTGTACAATCTAAAATAATCATCACATTATGAGCAAAACTGGACAAAGTAAGAACGGAATGACTGTCTCCATCTTTTAGTTTCTTCTTGACCTTAAGTCATGGTCAGTGGCACTTATTGCCAAAAAAAATAAACTCACTGTTTATAGAGTGTGGCCTCTGCATGGTGGTGAGGGGACTGGCTCCATTGCCAGTACTAAAACTCATCAAGGATGTCATACTGTCCGAGGTTGGGCAACCAGGGGTACAATTTGAGTAGACTGGATGGTGGTGGTGATGGTGATGATGGTGATGGGGAAAGCAACGGGAGTAGCCATGGTGCCCTTGTTCACTGCCAGAGGAAACTGAAATAACAGCAAGTTAGGGAGAGAAAAAAATTTCAAATCAGAAAAAAGGAAGAAAGAAAAAGACCAAGCCAAAAAGCTTAAATAAAATTGAATAAAGAAAAAAAGATAACATGCAATTTCAATTTTAAGAAAAACAAGTGAAAGAAGAAGTGAAAATGACTTCCTTGAATAAGTCAACCCATGCAAAAAATTTGTGCAACAAGCAGAAATAAGGAAAAAATAATTTGGAGTTAAGTTTAAAATTTGTTATGATCATACAGTAGGGAAAAAATGCATCAGATGCATGAATCCAGATACCCTGTCCTACTGCCAGTCATCTAAATCAGTGATTTTCAATGTGGGCCTGAGAAAATTTTAAAATAGGCCTGAAGTTGGCCCAAGGACTTTGAAATTTCTATTTTTGTTTTCTGTTGGCATAAAATTATAAAAACACAAACTGCTTCACTTTATTTTTAAATGCAAATAATTCAGAAATTATTTAAATAAAATCTTCAATGTTTTCTTCTTATAATGAATTATATTTTCAAATTGGTTTGAAACATTTTCTGTGTTCTACTTGCGCTTATGTGGGCCTAAAATTTTTTGACATCAAAATTGTACCATGAGGAAGAAAAGGTTGAGAAACACTGATCTTTAGATCATGTGCTCATTTCTGATAGGGTTCCTTATTAAACATTATGTCCTTAGTAACATTGATGTTACAGAATCTCTAAATAATCTCAGTCAACATTTTATTCAAGTAAAAACACATACACAATAAAATAGATTGTGCCTTTAAATAAAAAAATGAAAAATAAGTTTAATCAGAATTCTTTTTTTTTTTAATATAAGCAGAAATATAAATTGGACAATTTAATAGCTCTTTTCCCAGGAGTGTTATCTAAAAATGATTTTTGATGAGGTGAAGCTTTTGTTATTGCTGTTGTTGATCTTATATTGCTTCTGGAATTGTCAGATTTAGGGCACTTTCCATAATTTAGCATATTAGTCTTGCAAACCAATGTAGAGAATTATTGTGGAGTAATTTTTCACAAGCTGATTTTGCAACTCATTACTGTTGATTAGTGAGTTTGATCCATACTGAGTGCTCTCTGCTTGTGCCTAAACTAAGCTAAGCTTAGCAAATAACAATTTAAATATTTTGTGAATATAACCTTTCATCTCCATTCTGGTATCAGCCAATTTCTCTCTCTCTCTCTCTCTCTCTCTCTCTCTCTCTCTCTCTGATGAGAATTATATAAACACTCAACATGATACTAGAATATCTCCCAGAACTATACATTCTCACTGTTCATAAAAGACATCTTGGTATTATCTCATATTTGCAGTAAATGCTAGCATCAAAATATATCAAAATACTAAAATTCAATAGCCTAAGATAAATGATGGGATCCTAAAGGTTCTCTGCCAAACCAAGAAGTCCTTCCAAAAAGGATAAATAAAACACCTGAAGTTTGGTCATTTAATCAGATTTTGGAAAATGGCTCAAGTCATGAACTTTTCTAATCCCCTCATATATATATACAGGACCTTTATAATTTACTAATTCTTGTCAAGATTATATCTAAATTTACTGAGTCTGTACACAAGAAAATGTCATATATATATATATATATATATATAGTTAAACCGAGAGAGCCAGACAAACCTACCAAGGTTTCACCTAAGCAGATCATCAGGGAAGGCTGGCTAAAAAGGTAACAAAAGAACGGAATACTTATAGTCAATAAACAAAATATCATAACCACGTGACCCAAACAAAAAAAAAGGGGGGGTGGAGAACCATTTATTCAAATAGAGATAAAACAAAAAAAAAAGTGGGGAGGGGTAGAGAGAAACTTGGACAACAGGGGGTAGTAAACCATTTATTCAATCAAAATAAAAAAAAAAGAAAAAAAACCAAGGAGAGGAGACCTAGTCTAACAACCGTTTTCTGTGTCTACATTTACTTAGGATTTCAGTTTTAGAATTTAATAAATGATCAGGTTCTTTGTATAGAGCTATAGCTAATTTTTCCTCTAGACATAGTTGTTACCTGCTCTATATTTGGAACATCTTTTTAATATTTCCCATTTCAGGATGGGGTCTTTGTTATTGTCATGTCTAATTTTCCATATATAGGTAGATAGTATAGTACTATGTTTGGATTTTTCATTATTGAAGCTACTCATATAGTTGTAATATCATTTTTTAAAAACATTTTGAGTGGATCCTATGTATACTTTAGGATTTATATCATTGTTGTTGTTAATTATATACTTGTATATTTTAACTTGATATACCATGCACTCCTGCTGGCATTTTCCCTGAAGGGGGCAGACTTTCTTGTTTCTACAATTACATCTAGAAGAAGTAGTGCGTGGTTTATCCCTAGTATTTTTCTTGTTATATTCGTTAATTAAGTTTGCTATATTGGGCATACAACTGTAGCTTAGTTTGACACTGTTTTTATTAAATATTTTGTAAAATTTACTGGTCTTTGGAAAATTTTGTTCAAGTAGATTAAAGAATATTTTACCAATTTTAGTTTTCACTGATAAATTAAACAGGGGGGGGATTGAACCACAAGATGTTTCTACTTCTATTCTTATGTTTATTCTGAGTTTCATAGTCATCATTTATGTTAATGTATTCCAGTTTATTCTTGTATCCACTTTTAGCTTAGGCTTGTTTGTAAATTAATTTATTAGCATCGAAGATGTTTTTATTTGATGAATTGGTAGATAATCTATAGCTAATGCCTTTAGAAATATGTTTTAAGAAATGTGCCGGGTGATTAGATCTTATATTTAAATATGGTGGGTCCTGGTTATCCTTTTTATACATGGAAACAGTGCCATCATGTAAATCTAATGTGATGTCCAGGTAATTAGTGACTTTAAGGTTTGTTTCAATTTTGAGGTTTAATCTGAATTTTTTAAAGAGCCAGTGCAGCTTTTTCCAGATTATATCACATTTTCTGGAATTACTTCTATCAACTATGATTAGTCCATCGTCTCGATATAGCCCATGGTTATTAAAATCTACGTGATTATTTAGATTATTAAGCAAAAGGCATCTTACTAATTCACACACCTCTGCCCCATCGTATGCCCCTATGGGATTGTCAAAATTATTTATATTGTCTTTTTTTATCCATAATTCATTATTATGGAACAATAAAGTCTTGCGGCAGTGTCTAATCAGATCTATTTTATCATTAGAAATCTGTATGAGTTCTTTGGCTAATAGATGGGCTTCATTAAGTGTTTTTCTGTAATTGAAGGATAGTATTCTTTTATATCATAAAATATATTTTATATCATGTTCTTGGTTCTTTCTTTTTTTATACCTTTTTTTTCTCTTTGGTATTGGTTTGATTATTTGCAAATCAAGACACTGAAGGTTTTCCGGACAAGTATAATAATTTCTTATACTTATAAGATTATTACTACTACTATATATATATATATATAATACCTATGATTTCAGATAGCAATGTAATAACTCAAAAGAAAAATGCATACAACTTAAAAAATTATTTTAAAAAATTATGAACAAAAATGACTCTTTAAAAAACTTATTATTTATTAAGACAACAATTAGTTCCATAATTGAAAAATCCATATATCAAAATTTATGGTTTCATTTTACTTTCTATGGTTTCATATTTTTTTGCTACATCTGTAAAAAATATTTAATGCAATTAAAGTTTAAAAACAATTCTTTCTCAAGAGACAAGCCCAACTGAAAAATGCAAAAAAAGTCTACATTTAAATAAGTTCTCTTTCTTCATTTTGATGCTGTTTTATTTAATCACTGAGAAAAAGAGTTGCTCTATGACACCTTTTAAGGTAAATGAGTCAATCAGGAATGATTTGCAATCTTGTGTATTGCTACTACTTCCTAAAGAAACACAATAACAGCAAGCTTTTAACAAAGTTTACAGCTTTGTCTACTACTAAATTTAATAAGTCAACCGGGTTTACGTGTGAAACCTAGATATACTAATGAGTCAATGTTGATGAAACAAAAGATAGTTGCAGACAAGTGTTTTACCTATATACCTATACACACACACACATATATATATATATATATATATATATATATATATATATATATACACACTCAACTGAAGTGTTAGGATTCATGAATTCTCTATTTTGTACAGAAAATATGCATTTGCAGAAATGGTGGCAAATTATAGTAGAGAAATATGTCAAAGTCATTTTTTTAAAATATTACAGCATATGTTGTCTGAATGAATTTTGTTCTCCCTCAGATATGAAATAGTCTTCCTTTCTTGGCATTTAATATATATATATAAATTTCAGTACAACAAGAAACAAGAAACAATTCTTCATCACTTCTTTTATGAAAAAGAAAATTCATATAAATTGAAAACATATTTGTAGATAATTAATGATCAACCTCTGATTGATTCTCTTTTAATAAAATTTATTTTAAATTATTAGTATAATTATTAATATTTCATGTACACATCATTCTATTTTTCTTATTGGAAAAAAATATATTTTCCCAAAAAAAAATATATGCTTCTATGGAAATACTGTCATTGAATCTCTTTAAAGTCATGGTTATAATGGTTTCATTGCTTTTCAAAATTAGAAATTTTTGTGTCACAGTTAATATAAAGCTCCTTTTTAGTGCTAATAATATTGAATATTTTTTCTTGTATTATTCACATTTCTTATATGAAACATTAAACTGGAAAATTTCTGATCTATGTTGCTTACAAATGATTCTGTAATGATGATCTTGGTGTTATAATAAAAAAAAACATAAAATGAAGATGACAGAATTAACAGTAAAAAATTAATCAACTTTTATTTTTTCCTAGTTTTTCTAAGGGTGCAAAACTACTATTTTTATTTGATGTCACTTTTTGAAGTTTAGATATTCAGTCTGAATTGTTGAAAGCTTTTGTTTTCTTTTTTTATTACTCACCATCCCTAAATCTACCCACAACATTTTATATGAAATTACTTCTTGAT